TAATTCTCTTAATTTTGGAGTCGGCTCAGACATGACAGCATCTGACATAGTATTTTGCCAATGTTCATCTCCCTCCAGTAAACCTAATTCCTTGCAAGCTCCTTGATAAGTATTGAAAATAACACCATTTACTGTCCTTAGATGTTCAAATGACATTGGACCGCGAACATGATGCAGTAACATTCTTAAATAGTAACATTCAGTTTGTGTCGGATGAATGTTGTAGACACGACCTAAAGTTGAGTCTTTTTTTATACCGGGATATCCTTCAACATGTTGTCCACGTCTTCTTCTAGAAAATGAATTTCTTTCCCATACGTAATACTGGGGTACTTCGTGATATAAAAGGGTTTTGGCAAAATCGTCTCTTTTGCAAAGATCAAAGAACGCTGTAAGTGTCGTTGATGAAGGATTGTTGACGCGATCTTGAAGATTTTCATTATTGTAAAAATAAACTCTTTGTGCATTTTCTAAATGAACTGCTAAATGAACTATTGTCGGAAAACGTTCATGAATCGGAAATTGGAAAATTCTCCAGAGTGCTTCCGAGGAACTTATATAGCGACCATTTAAATATTTTTCTACTTCATCGTTATTATTTTGTAACGAAAATGTGGCTTGATCAGAACCTTTATGAATATACTTACAGATGTACTTAATGGCTTTGACCGATTGGCAAAACTCTACGTTAATGTGTGCATTGAAACTTCGTGATAGCACAGGGTTATAGGGAACAACCCACCTATTATCCACTCTCATTTCTATACCTTTGACACGAATTATTGCGGTGTTTCCACCATTATCTGGTGAACGGCGCTTGTAGGTTGGGTAACCGTCACCCCCGGTTTGTGTTTCAGAAATAAACTGCCTGGGGTATTTTTTAGAGCAAATGTTTTCTTTCATACATGGTGACGCAGGATTGTGAAATCCGCAAGGACCATGTATCATATTTTTTATGACAATGTTATAAAGCATTGGGTCTTGTTGTTTGTCAGGTATTTCAGCCGATATTATTGCATCTATGGAATCCGGTTGCACTTTGTTAGCCAGCCACAACAAAATGTGAGCGTGAGGTAAACCTTTTTTTTGCCATTCTACACTATAAACGAAGGCTTTCGATGGTCCAAATATATTTTTCTTCGTTAATAGGTCTATCATTTTTTTTTTGTTTTAAATGAAATACTCTAGAAATCAAATCATGTCTGTCGTAAGAATTTTGATCGGGTAGTAACTCAATTTTTATTTCTGGCCATTCGGAGTTACATGTGAATGTTATAAAGAGATCTGGTCTTCCAAATTTTCTGACATAGATCATGGCATCTTGACTTTTTTCATTCATGTATCTAGGAGATCCTGTAAATGACGATGGCAATATAACGTGCTGGCCAACATTAGAAGCGTCTACATTGCCATCATTAACCACGGCATCTCTTAAATGAATGTACTCTTCTGCTCTTAGTTTTTTTTGATTTCTTTTTATGAAGTCAAGCCTCTCAGAAATCATTTTTGCCGCCATATCAACACAGTATTGATTAAATAATCCTTTGAAATAATGTATGCTGTTAAAGTCATTTATTCTCACCATGAGTCTAAATGCATAAAACTGCATACATGATATAGTTTTAGATCTAGCAGCAGTATTTTGCTGTGGAATATTTATACAATATCCGTCATTTCCAAAGGGAGACAGTAAAGGATATTGAAGTGGGTCATAAGATCTATGTATTTCAGAAACTCGCTGAAGGCGCCCGTCTCTGGTATTTAACACTATATCTCGGGGACCTTTGTCTTCATCTATTAAAAGAACAGCTACTTCATCTACCATGGGCGCGTTATATCGACCTCGATGTTCATTAGGAGGTTTCACATCAGCATGAATGATAAGTTTAAAATCATTCGTTGGTCTGTTTTCGAGATTATATTTAAAACTTTGAATATAAGTATTGTGATCGTGAAGATATGTTTGGAGAGCGTCGATAAGATCGGTTTTTAACGTTGGGTTTAAATTTGAGCGTAAAGATACCTGATCTGTATGGGAAATAAAATATATTTGCAAAAATTCGGGTTGTGCGCCTTCAGGTGGAAGTAAATTACCGATCAGATGGTAAACTTGCCCCTGGACTTTAAAAGTGGGCATAAAGTTTCCTTCACGAATTTCTTTGGCACCAAATGAAGTCATCTGAAACAGAGTATTATATTGTCTAGAGTGATTTAAGAAATGCTTAGAAGATGGATGTGAGCCTGATATTAGATCTTTAAGAATTGATGTTGGTGCTGGAATTTTAGGAATATTTACTTTGCCACCACTACAACACAGTCCAGGAGCTTCAGCCGGCCATTTTTTTGCTTGACATGAATTACATATTTTATTCATTCTGCAAATATTAGTACCATTTAGCTCAGCATAGTCAAGGGTATAATCATAAGAAAATGCTGAATTCAATAAATTATATTGCCTGCGAGTTCTGTTCCCTGCTGTTCGTGCATTTTGCTATGCTAATCGATGGGAACGTTCAGCACTTGATTCCCGTTCCCGGTTTGCCGAAGTGCGGGAATTCTGTGTAGCTAAACGTTGAGAACGTTCAGCGCTTGATTCCCGTTGCCGGTTTGCCAAAGTGCGGGAATTCTGTGTAGCTAAACGTTGAGAACGTTCAGCGCTTGATTCCCGCTCGCGATTTGCCGAAGTTCGGGAATTTTGTGCGGCTAAACGTTGAGAACGTTCAGCACTTGATTCCCGTTGTCGATTCGCCGAAGTACGGATATTTTGTGAGACTAACCGCTGCGAACGTTCAACACTCGATTCCCTAAAACGGTTTTGTTCACTGATCGCTCGTTGAGTAGCCAACCTGTGCAGATTTTCTTCGGGTGTTTCATTGCTGCGTAGAAGTCGCAATCGCTTTGCAGTAGCAGTCTGCCTAGAAAGCTGAGTTCTTTTTCTAGGCATTATAGTAAAGAGGTAAAAGAAAAACCGTATAAAATTAAAACTTAATTAAAATAAACTGAAACGTAGTAATCAGGTAAAAGAAACGTAAGGTGAGTAATTATTAAAAGTCGTATGAAATGAAATATATGCCAAAGGAATTATCGTAAATGACTTCAAAAAACGCAACGCTGCATTCAACCGTTCCGTAGGGAGCCGACCGCGCGTCTGAGCCGCGCGGCATGGTACCTTGTAAACCAAAACACGCGGGCGGCGCGGCGGAGGAGGGGGGGGGGGGGGTAGCGACAGGCGGCCAGCAAGCGCGGCCTCCTCGTCTCGCCCGCCGCCGCGCCGCCGTCGTCTTGCTTGCATCAAGCGCGCGTGGATTTCCTTAGCAGAGTTATTTTAGAAATGTATTTATTATACTCTTCAAAGATCTTATACTTACAATCAATATATTTCGAAAAAGATTATTACAGAATTTTATGTAGATAAAAAACTCTATGGTCCATAACTCATTAATAGGTACCAACTCTTAACATCTTACACACGTGATAACTTTTAAACGAAATATCCGATTGAGATGAAACAAAAGGTATTTTACTTCTACATAAATACTCTTTATAACATAATGCTTCATTTCGATAAAGATTAATATTACGATACATATTTAACGTAGTTTTTTTTCTTCAGACGATTTAATAACTAATTTGAACACAAAATCGGTTATTGTGATTAAACCATGATAGCTAGATATATGTTCTCGCGGACTTTTTTGTAGGTCTTAATGGGATCTACAAACCCGTAGTACCTACATCATTTTGTTTTATTGTCAATAGTTTTTGCAGCGCACGCAAAAATAGGTTTTCGATTTTACACCTTGTGTTACAAAATAGCAATTTTATTACGGATCCCTAATTTTGAAAAAAAAAACATAGCCTATAGCCTTCCTCGATAAATGGACTCCCCAACACTGAAAGAATCATTCAAATCGGACCAGTAGTTCCAGAGATTAGCGCGTTTAAACAAACAAACAAACAAACAAACACTGTAGCTTTATAATATTAGTATAGATTTTTATGTAATACTATGCATATATTAACTATTTTTGAAATGTAACTTTAATTATGTGTATATGTATTATCTTGTTTTATATTTATATAATTTAGATTCCTGTCTTTTAGCGGTTCACACACCTATTTCGTATTTTTATCTCTGCATCACCCAAAGGTTTACTGGTAGAGATTGTCTCAGTCATTAAGTCCGTCTATACATCTTATTGTATAAAGTTTAAATAAATAAATTATTAAAACACGGTAAATAATCTTACATTATTTATCTAAGAGATGTGAGATTAGACAATGTCACGTTTATTTTATAAGTATTTTCTGTAAAATCTTGTTTGTGATTTTACAAGAAAATATATAATTTACCTAATTATTTAACACATGACTAGGTGGTGATGTATTTTCTAATGCCATCACTACATGGCAAGTATTGAAATACTTTTATAAAACTTAAGGTTTGTGAAACAAATTTTTATGGTTTGATCGTGGATTGATAATACATTGGAAATAATTTAAAAATTATTTTGCCATGAAAGATGTTTAGAGAATGAAGTTATATGTGATCAGTAGTACTGTATTTGTAGCAAACTACTATAATTTTAATAATATAATATTGTTCATATGTATGTTCATAATATAATGAAGTAACCACTCAATAGCAAAATTAAGCTTAAAGTAAGGAAAAGTTAAAGTTGCAGTTTATATATTAAATAGGCTAGGCACAGTGCAATTAGTACACCGTGCTTCTCTACTTGTGGGTTGGCGGACTTCACATGGCCTCTAAATATTTTATTCCTTAGACTTAGACATGCAGGTTCTTCTGTGAAGTCCTACTTCGTTATAAATGAGTACTTAAAATTGGTGTCTAGAATTCAAACCCGGGATGCTCGCGTACTAAGAAATTTAGTACAAGCGCTTATCTTAGCTTGCACGGCTTATTATTTTTTTACTTAGTATTAATAGCTCATTAATTTGAATAATCTGCGTTGTATTGCAGCGGCATCGGATGCGGCATGATGACTCGCTCGGCGTTCCAGAGCGGCTCGGCTTCGCCGCCCGCCTCGCCCTACACACCCTACTCGCCGCACTCGCCGCATTCGCCCGCGAGGACAACGCGCGTCTACGCTTCCGTCGCGGAGATGAAGCGCAACCGAGCGAAGGTATATATATTTATTCTTAAATGTAAATATATAAGTTTTAATTAATAATATACTTTTAGTAAATATACTTTGACTTACTTTGTACATGAATGCATACACACACACACACATATATATATATATATATATATATATATATATATATATATATATATATATATATATATATATGTGTAATATTATATGCTGACTTTTACTGTAAAGAAAAAATAGGAGTTATACAATCATATTATTTTTTAAAGTATTTTTTAATTATTTGTTATATTTCTGCAAATATTGCACATTGAATCTAACTACTTATTGGATTTTATTGTGTTTAGTTTAAATTGTTTTAATTCTCGACGTTTCGAATGATTTATAGCGGTAGAGTTGCTTGTCGCTGTCATAGTTAACTCCGTATAGATACCCTCAGTTTTTAATGAATAATTTTGAGCCGATGTACGGAGAATGAGTTTGGTGTGTGTTGAAGTGTCGTAATGTAATGCGGTGTGGTGTGTATGCGGCAGGCGTGGGGCGGGGCGTGGGGCGGGGCGGGCGGCGGCGCGGGGACGCTGCGGCGCGGGTTCCACTCGACGCCGGACCTGGCGGCCGAGCTGGCGGCGCGGCCCGCGCGCACGCGCTCCAGCGACGACGTGCACGGTACGCACCGACACGCACCGACACGCACCGACAAGCACCAACACGCACCCGACACGCACCCGACACGCGCCCGACACGCGCCTCCTTACCACCTTCTCTTCTTTTATTACTTTCCATACATACTTTTCTTTTTTCTTATTAAAACAATAAAAAAATAAATAATCTTCTTCTTAAATATCTTCGTCTTGATAAAGATATCAAGGCCTCTTTATAGACTTTAATGCTTGTGTCAGGATCAACGGCGCTTACTCAGATTTGGCATCCATTGAAATGTCAGACAAGGCTGTGTAGCTTCCCCGTGGCTGTTCAACCTATTTATGGACAGTTGTTTGAAAACTTTGAAAGTTAAAGAATATGGCTTAAGAATAGGTGAGTTAACCGTCAAATGCTTTTTCTACGCCAAAAGGCATTTGACAGTAAACTCACCTATTGAATATCAAGTACATTGATGATCAAGTCACATTTACGTCGTCGACCACCAAATTGCAAATGATGGTTACATTAATGAACAGGTCATTAAAATGAAAGGGAATGAAAGTGAACGCAAGTAAGATGAAAGTGATGATTTTTGAAAAAGAAGAAAGTAAAACCATAATACTAATAATTTATAATTTCAGGACCAAAGTATACACACACTAAACTACAGGAAACACATAATTAAAGGCCACACTCTACAATCAGACCTTTACAGATATTATCATAATATCCCAGCAACCATTCAGCATATCACTGGTGCCCGCAGCTCAATAACACAGACCGACTATAAACACAGACATGACCAAGTAGCTGCCATCTTCCACCAGTATCTCGCATATACATATTAATATAAACTTATAGATGAAAAAATTGCATATTATAAATACAAACCTAAAATCATACTTCAATTCAAACTCTACTGGGACAGAACTATATTAACTGATAAGACCGTGCATTATAATAAACCGGATATTACGCTACATGACGAAAGAAACGAATCAGTTTATCTTATAGATATTGCTATTCCAAATACTCACAATTCGACCTACAATGAAAATATAGCCAAATACACTAACTTATCCATCGCAATAAAATCCCCGTGGAAAGTAAAAACTATACCTATTATAATTTCAGCAACTGGCGTCGTTCCCCATTCACTCTTTTCTAACTGAAAGGAGCTGAACATCCATAAGCTTACCTTTATATTGCTACAGAAAGTAGCAATATTGAATCAAAATTGAAAGCAATCACAAGATCCAGCAGTGCACACGATCAGATTATTAAGACCAACAACTATCGGAGATACGTCCTTAAAAATGGCATCGTCGACATCTGTCGAGCTTGTCCCGGTGAGTCGCTTAGGCATTTCCGGTTGTTCGGCGTTTTCTAACTCTGATTATTTGTACAGACGCAACCTAGTAGCCAGGATTCTATACCAGGAGTTTGCTCTGAAATACAGTCTCGTGGATCGGAAACTGCCTTATTATAAGTACTTGCCGGAAGCCGTGCTCGAAAATGACGCCGCCAGGCTCAACTGGGCCATTCTCACAGACAGGACTATTCTTGCGAATAAGCCTGATATTGTGCTGATGGACCGGACACAGTCAAGGATATTTTTGGTCAATATTACCATTCCTTATAACAAGAACCTCGTTACCATTCCTTATAACCAACCAAAAAGCTGAAACAGATAAGCAGAAAAATATCTGGACTTGGCTCGCTAGGTGACTAGCAGGTGGGGTGGTCTGCCGACCCAAATTATTCATGTGGTCCTTTTTGCGAACGGGCTAATCCCGGTCAGCTTCTCAGGTCATCCGAGGTGACTGGGACTTCGTGACGAACCGCTCCAGGCTCAAATGCAGAATGCGGTGCTCCTCAATACCGCCCGCATCGTCCGCCGGTTTCTTTCCCTTTCCCCCTAACCCTAGGCCGTTTGGCCTCCTCTGTCGAGGGCTTCCATTTGGTTGGGGTTTTATTTCTTTATGTATTTTTATGTATTTGTTTTATTATGTATATTTATCATTTTCATTTATTTATTTATACAGCCCAACCAGATGAGAAAACTATATAAATAACCTAAAAGAATAGAAGGGGAGTTTGTTGAGCAAGTGGATGGGTTTGTGTATTTGGGATGTGTTTAAGCAGGGATGGTTGATATGATAAAGATTTAGAATGACTAGTAAACGCAGGAAATAGAGTAAACGTTGCTCTTTACTATGTTGTGGTAAATCAAACTATTTCAAAAAAGGCACATATGGCAACGTATTCACAATGCTGTGTTAGTCGCAATCCTAATGTATTGTAGTGAAGGTTGGGTGTGGCAGAATAAGCATGAGAATAGAACAAATGCTGTAGAAATGCGGTCATTGTGGAGTATGTTAGGGCTGAATTGGAATGACGGGATGGGAAATTGTGTGATAAGAGAATAGTGTGGTTTGCAAGATGATTTTGTGACCAGGATTAAGAAATGAATGCTTCGGTGGTTTTGTCATGTAGAAAGAATGAACACGGAAAGAGTGACAAAGCAAATCTATGTTGCAGAAGTGAACGGCAGAGTCGACCAAATTGGCGATATATTGAAAATGGGCCAGATTAACAGTAACTTTAACTGACGATCATGCGTATGTATATATATGGATATAGAAGAGGTGAAAGAGGTGTGTCAGGATCGTGCCAAATGAAAGTCCATTGTCTCTGCTTACTCATCTGAGTTTCAGGCGTGAGTGTTTATATTATGTAATGATAACAGTAACAAAAGCGGCTATATGAAGAAACCAAAAACTATATCGTCGGCCATATGGAAAGAAATTAATATGAAAATTGTGTGTGATGTAGGTGTACAACCCTTGCGCCACCAACCTTGCGGTTATACGGGCCGAATTTCGAGAGATGCGCGCGGTACTTGCTCAGGGCCCTTTCCCGCGCGCTCTTTCTTGACTCTCTACAAGTTATTTACTCTACTCCTTGTCTCGTTTTTCCATTATCACTTTCTGGGCTGGACGTACGCACAACGCCTTCGGTTCCGGGCTGGTCCTCGACTATTTGCACGTTTGTTGTTCTTTCCATGGCAGTCCTTTGTGCGTGCCATCCATGCACAAACTCGCGCAGCCGGCCAAAGTTCACCTTACCGTGCACGAGTTCCGGGTAGTACACCGGGCCTTCCCTTTCGCATACCATTCCAACTATCATCTTACATCGCAGGTCGTCATACAGTTCACACTCCCACAGGACATGGTCCCTATCCTCGTGTGTCGCACCGCACTCGCACATACACGGTTCAGCCAATTTCATTTCAGACAGTCACTTTCTGAAACATCCATGCCCACTGAGGATCTGTGAGACTTGGTAGTCCGGCACGAAAAAAATTGCATTGTGTCGTACCGACACGTCCGGAAAAAGCGGAATAATTCTCTGCCATTCGTCTCATTCGTCCACTGTTCTTGCCATGCATTCACAAATTCAGCCTAAATTTCGCGCTGGCGCCTGCGCAACTCCCCCTTATCTACATTCCTACGCACCTGGTAAGTCCTACCAGCACATATGACCTCCAGGTCGGCCGGAAGGACGCCGGTTAAAACCGGAAGCGCCGCAGTACTTGTCGTCCTGTAGCCCTTTGTCAGCAACCCGAGTGAGGATCTTTACCATCTAAGCAGTGCCGTACGCACTGTATAATTCGGTCAACCCAAACGGATGCAGCATTAGTCACTACTGGAACATATGTTCCCTTATACAGAACACGAAGGGCCGAGTAGCGCACGCCCCAAGAAGACGCTGACACCCGCGACATCTTCCCAAAGCATCTCCCAGCCCTTTTTCCCATATCTTTGGCATGCTGAAAGAAAAATAGACTCGTGTTTAACGTGACATCCAATACCTTGTCGACATTACGCTTTTTATCGACTCCATTCTCATTCTTATAACAAGTGGTTGCTGGAACTTGCCTTTGATAATCATAGTACATGACTTCGCGGAGGAGAAGGATAACCGGTTCCTCTCCCCCAACGACGATACCAGCTCCAGTGCAGATTTCAGCAGTTCGCCTCTATCAGGAGTGTCACATCATCTGCATATGCCAGTATTTTCCTACCGAGAGGGAATGGCAGCCTCAACAAATCGTCCAGCAGTAAATTCCATAAGGTCGATCCAAGGACCGATCCCTACGGGCAGCCCATGGTCGAGTGTTTCCATTCAACACACTCAAATACGAATATGCCCACTCGTCTGTTGGTGAAATAATTCACCAACATACGGTAGATGTTAGGTGGAATCTACCCTTGTTTGGTCTGTATCATCGGCCACCAGGCATTATCAAAATTTGATTTTTTAGACATATCGAGAGCATAATGCTCCCGATATGTCTAAAAAGACGGTTTATACGAGGAGCATCGCATTCTCGCGCGCATTACTAAGCACATCTTGCAGCGCCGTTACTGTGGACCGACCTGGCGAAAATCCGTGCTGGTAATCCGATATACCCCTCACCAAGCTCGGGGCACATCGTAACAGAATGCGCTTCAGCAGTTTCCCAAAGATGCGGAGGAGCGTTATCGGGCGGTATGCCTTGTATGATCTTTCAGTGGCTTGTCATTACCTTTCGGAATAACTATCAGCCGTCCATTCTTCCATAATTCGGGGAAAGCCCCCTCTTCCACGCATTTGGCATACACTGAGTGGAATTTCCTGGGTGCAGCCTTCCATACATTCTTAACAACTTTTGCGCTAATACCTTTCGGAATAACTATCAGCCGTCCATTCTTCCATACTTCGGGGAAAGCCCCCTCTTCCACGCATTTGGCATACACCCAGTGAAGTTTCCTGGGTGCAGCCTTCCACACATTCTTAACAACTTTTGCGCTAATTCCGTCCAATCCCGGAGCAGTCTTGGGCTAAGCCTAACTATGCTCTCCAGACACCCAAAGGTAAGGGGAGCGGCAACTGGCCCAGATGGCGCGAGAGCGGCCATAAGGCGCACCCGCCCGTGGTATTCTGTGCCCTTGGACAGATCGTCGTCCGGACACTGCGCCCCGAGAAAATCTCGCATGGCTCACTCCGCATCTCACTCTCCCCGAGTGCCTTAGTTGTTTGGAGGACGGTACCTACCACTCGCCACTTGGTAAGCACGCTCCCAAGGTTCGGCGTTAACAGTATCGGCTATTTTTCGAAAGTGGGCCAGCTCTGTGTCCCCCATCATCTGTCGGTATCCCGCTCTCACATGGAATCGTTCCATAGCTAATTCCTCAGACCTGCCTCCCTTTTTTCTTATCTTCTGCTATGATGTAGGTGTAGGCCGTTATAGCCATATGATAATGTAATAGCGAGCTAAGGGTAAGGTGATGTGTGCGCAGACGGATCATACGGGTCACGCGCTCCGCCGCCCGCGGAAGCGCCGCCGCCGCCGCCCGGCGCGCCCGCCTCCTCGTTCCGGCCGAGCGCCGCCGCCAAGCTGTACGCCTCGCCGCAGGAGCTGGCGCGCGTCGCCTACCGCACGCCCGCCGTGAGTACCGCACACATCGCACACACACACGCACACGCACACACCGCCGCCGCCCGGCGCGCCCGCCTCCTCGTTCCGGCCGAGCGCCGCCGCCAAGCTGTACGCCTCGCCGCAGGAGCTGGCGCGTGTCGCCTACCGCACGCCCGCCGTGAGTACCGCACACATCGCACACACACACGCACACGCACACACCGCCGCCGCCCGGCGCGCCCGCCTCCTCGTTCCGGCCGAGCGCCGCCGCCAAGCTGTACGCCTCGCCGCAGGAGCTGGCGCGTGTCGCCTACCGCACGCCCGCCGTGAGTACCGCACACATCGCACACACACACGCACACGCACACACCGCCGCCGCCCGGCGCGCCCGCCTCCTCGTTCCGGCCGAGCGCCGCCGCCAAGCTGTACGCCTCGCCGCAGGAGCTGGCGCGTGTCGCCTACCGCACGCCCGCCGTGAGTACCGCACACATCGCACACACACACGCACACGCACACACCGCCGCCGCCCGGCGCGCCCGCCTCCTCGTTCCGGCCGAGCGCCGCCGCCAAGCTGTACGCCTCGCCGCAGGAGCTGGCGCGCGTCGCCTACCGCACGACCGCCGTGAGTACCGCACACATCGCACACACACACGCACACGCACACACCGCCGCCGCCCGGCGCGCCCGCCTCCTCGTTCCGGCCGAGCGCCGCCGCCAAGCTGTACGCCTCGCCGCAGGAGCTGGCGCGTGTCGCCTACCGCACGCCCGCCGTGAGTACCGCACACATCGCACACACACACACACACGCACACACCGCCGCCGCCCGGCGCGCCCGCCTCCTCGTTCCGGCCGAGCGCCGCCGCCAAGCTGTACGCCTCGCCGCAGGAGCTGGCGCGTGTCGCCTACCGCACGCCCGCCGTGAGTACCGCACACATCGCACACACACACACACACGCACACACCGCCGCCGCCCGGCGCGCCCGCCTCCTCGTTCCGGCCGAGCGCCGCCGCCAAGCTGTACGCCTCGCCGCAGGAGCTGGCGCGCGTCGCCTACCGCACGCCCGCCGTGAGTACCGCACACATCGCACGCACACACGCACACACCGTCGTCGTTGTCATCGTCATCATAATCATTATTACAGCCTTTCATAATCCTTGGCTGAACATAGCCCACCACAGTTTATTATTTTACTAGCTCGCCAGGCAGACGTTGTTCTGCCCTTTCCAACGACCCTTCCTATAAAAATCCTTAAATTCGCAATTAAAAATTTTGAGGATCATTTATCGGCATAAAAACTATCCTATCTCTCTGGACCAAAATGCACACAGTGTGCAAAATTTCATTGAAATCAGTTCAGTAGTTTAGAGAGTCCATCGCGGACAAACAACGTGACACGTAATTTTATAAGGAAGACACCGCTGTCCATCACCTGATTTATTTTCCTTCGTCGCCTCTTACAACACTCGCGGGTTTATATGGGATATTGGATATTCTAACACCGCCATTATAATCGGACTCTAACGACAAAATATGCAGCATTAGTCGTTAAAATTTGGAGCTTATTATTGTTCAGCATAATATCGTAACAAAAGGCGGATGTTGTATGGCACTAGGAGCGCAAGCCGGCTTCATTGCGCTCATGGACGGGTGATAGCAGAGCGGAGAGCGGGGCGGGCAGCGGGGCGGGCGGCGCGGCGGGGCGCGTGGTGCGCGCGCAGTCCGCCGACGACGCCTCGCACCAGTACGCACAGCCCTACAACCTGCACAAGCCCTTCCTGCGCCAGGTGAGCACCTCCACCACGCGACGCCCGATTCCTTTCATACGTCGATAACAAATCGAGTCTTTCAATTTTCGTTCCACCTTATCCCGACATATTAGTTTATGCAGAGTGGCGATAGACTCCATTTAAGCAATATGTCTAACTCCATACGGCGTTTGTATCGTACACAAAAAGAGCATCCAATAAAGTCAGTACCCTAAGACAGGGCCTAAATTACGAAATCATTTAGATTTAATACATACCTAGTCAGGTCATAAATTCTGTCACATGTTTAATATAAAATAATTGAAACAAGTTTATTCATTATGTAACTATTTATATACCAAAATGAACTTAACAAAACATAGATTCTTATGACACTAAAGTTTATTCAAAATGACCTCCGTGATTTTGAATACAGGCCTTCAATCTGCGCGGCCAGTCGTCTATCGCAGCACAAACGAGGTCCATGTCAATATCGGCGGCTGCCTTAATCAAGGATGTCTTGAGTGACTCCAAATTGGGATGAGGCTTTGAGCACGCCTTTTCCTCCAAGTGTTGCCATATCTTGTAATCTAACGGACTCAAATCTGGACTGGAGGAGGGCCAGTCTTCGTGCCGGATGAAGTCGATTTCACGCGCCGCCAGCCAGTCTTGTGTGCTCTTCGCTCTATGAGCTGGCGCCGAATCTTGTTGGAATACCCAGTGCCTGTTATTGAACATGGTATGAGAAACAGGTTCCACAAGGTTCGTCAGGACTGTATTTTGATACACAACAGCATTCGTTTTTACACCTTTCTCACAAAAATGTACCTCTGTTAAGCCCCAATAAGAAACTCCCAACCATACCATGAGCGAGGATGGAAAATGACCTCGTTGGACACGCGGAATACGGTTGCTCGCTTCTTCACTACTGTGTGCGTACACCTTATCATTTTGTTTGTTGTAGCTCTCTTCTACGGTAAAAATTTTTTCATCCGAAAAAAGAATTTCCCGATATTTTTTCCCGCGCACCGCTTCAACAAAGCGCGGCATCTCTTCAGTCTCAGGTCCATTAGACGAGCATTCAAACGATGTCCTGTTTTTCTTCGATATGCCCTAAGTCTTCATTTAACACCCTTTTCACCGTGGTTCTGCTTAACCCCATCTGAAGGGCCAACAGTTTCTGCTTACGTTTGGGATTTCTTTGAATTCGCGACTTCACAGTTTTTATCACTGCTGGAGTCCTAACAGACCGAGGGCGACCACTTCTTGACCTGTCATCTACACTAGGGTCTCCATTGTATCGTTTGATGGTACGATAAACGAATCTTTTGGTTATATTCAAATTTTTCAGTATGTCAAAAATTTGAATTGACGCGTAACCGCAACGATGCAACGCAATAACTGCAATACGGTCTTCTTTAAGCGTCCACTCCATATTTAAAAATGAGTAAAATTCTAAAAAGTATACAGTTTTATTTTCATGAACAATTCGAAATTCGAATTCAATAAACTTTTTTGTGGCCAGCATTCTAAAAGAAAAGTTTTTACTGTGTGACAATACTTATGACCAGACTAGGTATATTAAAAAACAATACTATAAAGTCACTAAAACTGTCCACTTCAATGTTTTTTTTTTCTTGTATTTAAATATAAACTAAAAAAGTTAGCTATTTTATTAAAATACAAGTAATGTTAAACATCAAAATATTTAGCTCGTTTTATTTAGTCAATTATTTTATACGATTATTTTAAAATAGTATCATAGCTGCAACTAAGCGCAACTAGTCTTGCGTTCGAACAGTCACGCGTACAGAAAGGACATTGTAGTGTGCGTCCATATTACGCCATTCTGGAACGATCGCGTGCATTTAAACTTGGACATATTTCAATATACGCTCTTAAGGCCATTATAGTATAGATCAAAAATAAAGGTTGTCACAATCATCTCCAACGAGTATTCGTTTTTTATTACTATTATATCAATTTATTACGATCAGGTAAAAGAAAATTGTAAGCAACCTAAATATTGTTTTCCCACAATATCAAAATACTCATAATCATTAAAAATGACACTGTTCTTTGGGTGCTAATTAATATTAATACACTATGTTGAAAATATGCAAAATACAACACAACGCAGTAAAAATAATATAGTTTTTTTTCCCTTAACTTTCGATAAAGATGAATCGATTGACTTATTTCATTTTTTTAAACTGATTTCATACAATTAGTCTAAAAGGCTGCTACGGTGAAACATTTATATTTATGAGGATCTTTATCTTAGGTATCTTTATGCCAAATACTTGTTTTCTGGACTGCATGCTTGTTTGTTACTCTTCCTAATTATGTAAAAAAAATATTACAGAATTCAACGCCAGCACCGCCAATCCCCGAGCCAGACTACAGTATGTCGGAGTCGGACGACGAGCCCGATAAGCCAGCAGAGCCTGTAGCCGAAACCAGCGCCAATAGCAATGCCAGGTAACATCGCGCTCAACAACCTGAACAACCTTACATTCAATTAAGCTATGTCAAAGGGTAAACGAGTTCATCATTGAGCCTAACAGGTCAGAATACGTCACGCAACTTAAAACGATTCGAAATAAACTACGTATTGACATTGTGAAGGCAGTAGTTGAAACTCTTCACCGAAGCGAATAAGCTAATTTCACATAGCTTGTGATCAATCCCTACCTCCTACAAAATATAGGATAGAAAGACAAAATTTCCAAATCTAACCTTCGCAAATGACCGAAGAATTTAAAGTATTTTTGTGGATTCATTAGTTAACAGTTCATTTATTAGTTAAAATCAGAAAGTACTTCTATCTCATACTTCACTTTATTCTTTAATGAAGCTTTATTACTTTGAAGAATCACAAAAATTACTAATATAATGCCGATTTATTAATTCTATAGTTTGTTATTATATATATTTATAGATCCAAATAATTTAAATTTCAAAATGACACAAAAGAGGTAATCTCTAGCAGTTATAATAATTTAAATAATTTAGACTGTAGCTTACAAATCCTTAATTGTATGACTCCACAGAGTGATAATAAAAATTGTTTATACCTGGTGCAACAAAATATACAAGGCATGATAGACAAAGAGCTAGAAATTGAATTGTTCTTAAATAGCAACAATATTCATATTTTATGTATTACTGAACATTAGTTACAAGCTTATAACTTAATGTTCACTTCATGTCACCAGGTGATCAGTTCTTTTAATAGAGAAACGGTTTTAAGAGGTGGCTCCTTAATATTATCTAGTAAATTATTATCATGTAAAGAACGTAAAGATATTGTGAGCCTCTCTGTTGAGCAAACTGTAGAAATGGCATGTGTTGAGTTTGAGCACCTCATTGTTGTGAGCGTCTACAGACCCCCATGCTACATACGATACTTTTGAAAAAATTAAGGAGGAAGTTTTTGTTAAGCTTAATAAACAGAATAAATCTGTTATAATATGTGGAATTTAAATATCATTAAATATCAATCTCCTAGAAGCTTCCTCCACCAATATCAAATTAGATCATTGTTTAAATCATATGGTTATAACATTTTTACAAATGTTAAGCCGTTGCATAAATGTATAATTCAAAAACTAAGTTCTGATTACTGTGGACAATTAGTTTCGTTACCTTATGTTCACAAAAAGCAAGTAGATGAGAAAGTTGTGTTTGTTCTAGTAAATCCACGTCGCTTGGAGAAGTTTAGAAGCAACATATTGAAAAACTTCCCTCACTTTCATACCAAAATGATCGTAATTTTTTGTATGGAACATTATTTAAGCTTATTTGCAATGAATTTAATAATACTTTTACTTCTAAAACATTCTCCTTGAACAGGCGGAAGGTATTCAATGAATGGACGACAGTAGGAGTCCATAAGAGCAGAAAAAGGTTATATGATCTTACCATGAAAGGTCATATAATCCTAGCGTCGAATTTAAGGAATATGTAAAAAAAATATTTAAAAAAGTGTGCTCCACTGCCAAGTCTTTGCATTTGAGCAACAAAATTAAGACTGCTCCTAATTAAATTAAAATGACATGGAGTATAATTAGTAGTGAAACTTAGTAGTTTCACTACTATACATTTTTACTAATTATACTCAAGATCAACTGTCGGTACCGGTTAACTTTTAAAAACAAATTAATTAAATCAGATCAGGACGTTGCAATGGTTTTTGAGAAATATGTTACTGATGTTCCAATCTTAACCACTAAGTCACTGAATTCATCTGCCGTCGCCGAATCATTACTTAAAAAAAAATGTAAATGCGTGTACAAAGAATTTTGCATTTCATAAAGTATCATCATAAGATATTGTAAAATATTTTAAAACTATTGATATTAAGATCTGTGGGGTATTTCCGTTAAAGTTATTGCGTTTATAATTGATACAATCGCGCATCATCTAGCTGTTATTTTTAATACTAGTATCGAATCTGGTGTTTCCTGATTTAATGAAGCATAATAAAGTACCGTAAAATGGGGTGAATAGACACAACTTTCAACTTCTACACTGTTTTTCTTACATATATTGTATATAAGCTGATAATAAAAGACTTTAATGTTGTGAGTCTTGTTGTAATTTATCAAATACTAATGCTTCAGACGAGTAAAAACATGCAAATTCTTTGTATTTTAGAAAAAAGTAGTCGGTTTCTTTATCCCGGGAATTCGGGGTGAAAAGAAACGACATAGGGGTGAATAGAGAAAAAATGCTAGGGTTGTCAAATGTGGGTTTGTTGTAGTATTTAGGTACGGGAGTTCTGAGTCAAATGAAAGAAAACATAACTACATTAAAATTGTCATTATAAAAAATAATTAGTTAATAAATATGATATTTATACAATTCCATATTATATAAATTAATTTAACTGCTTCGCAGCGTAAGCTTTTCGTACATAAAGCTATTAAATAAATAAGCCCACTGCTTACATAGTTTTGCACATATTTTTTAAGTAATGAAAATAAAAATAAAAAAATGTTTCAAACGTTGTTAAACTACATAACACTAATTATAATACTACGTGTTTTGATTAATAAACCTTTGGTTATTTTAAGTTGTAGCTAACAAGACGAGATTAAAAATCACCATTACTTATTTATAAAATTATGTAAGCATTAAACATAAACGTAAATTGACATAATATCGGGACTTGAAGCTGATAACTCGCGTCACACCGATTCCGCACCACTTTGATACTTTTTTAACTCGTATACCGAGCGTCTCTGTTAAACAATAAAGTACAAATATAATGAATGATATATTTATCTACTAGATAGAACTAAATCATATGAGCACACTAAGTATATTTACTGCAGGAACTTCTATCTGATGTAATGGTAAAACCTCAAGTATTTGGAATTTTAATCTATAACAAATATCAATATTTAAAATTTATAATAGAAGACTTTTAAATACCTTTAATATGGTTTAAACGTTTTTTTTTTATTTTAGTTTCAATTAGCTATTTAAATTAATTTATGTAGTAAGTAAATGATGGAAATAGTTTTTGACAACCCTAAAAATCATGTTTCTATTAACCCCTTTTTCGTTTCCAATAACCCCTCATTCGTATATATTCACCCCTTTCTTCGTTTCTATTAACCTCAAAGGCGTTTTTATTCACCCCTCAGTCGTATCTATTCACCTCGAATTCGAGAAAAAATACCAGCATCCTGATTTTACTATTTAAAAGAATAAAATCGTTCAATATCGATATTCATATTTATATTAGTAATAGATAAGAAACTCAACTCCTTAAAAAAACATTTCAACAAGTTTGAACTTGATGTTTAACTAAAAGTTTTACACAGCATAAAATCACTTCTAGTCACACGTTTATAATAACCGCCCCTTTCTTTCATCATCATTCATCATTACAGCCCTTCACAAGTCCACTGCTGAACATAGGCCTCCCCAAGGAATGCCACAAAGCACGGTCCTGAGCCACCTGCATCCATCGACTTCCTGCATGTCTTACCAGGTCGTCACTCCATCTCGTGGGGGGACGCCCAACACTAAAAAGTTAATGAGTTAAGTGCCCTTTTCTTTACTGTCATCAAAATTGACACTAATTTAAAGGGTACCAAAAATAAAGGGAAAATATTGGCAAATAATAAACAGTAGTAATAAACAGACGTTCCCGAGCTGTAGACAAACCTACAAACAACTTTATCAAATAACCAGACTTGTGGCTATTCACCCCGCGATTTCTATTCACCCCATTTAACGATAATACTTTTATTTAAATCTAGTAGTACATTAGACCCCGCCAATTTTAGATCAATTTCTGTACTATCAACATTTTATTAAGATTTTTATTCTTGATCAAATGTTAAATTTTTTTAATATAAATAATTTACTTCATAAAAATCAATTTGGTTTCACAAGGGATCGCTCGACAACTGATGCCGTTGTTGAGCTGATTAAATATATCTTTCTATATTTTTTTAGAATTCACAGGATGCTTTGAGTATATTGAGTATATCCAAGGCCTTCGATTGTATTCACCGTGAAACATTAATCAGGAAAGTTCTACACTACGGTGTAAGAAGTGATGCTCTTAAATTAATTATTTCATATTTAAGTAACAGAACGCAAAAAGTTGTCATTAACAATATGAGTTTAATGATGGTACAAATGGGCGTGCCTCAAAGCTCAAAGGAGATGTATGAAATTGGGTTGTTGACATCGTTCGTAACAGTTATACAAAAATATGTAGGTAATATAACAATAAATTATAAGCATAAAATTAAATGGTTTTTAATTCTGTAGTGTATGGGACAATCATAAAAACATTTTTTTAAACTGAAAAACGAAAGCTAGGTAATGCTTTTACCATAGCAATAACAACACGTTTTAAAATATTTTTATGTATTCTGTCTATGGCATTAGATAATGAAGGCTATTTTTTGTAATAAATAGCCTTCAGTATCAAAAAAAAACTCATAATATTGAAACATTGAGACGAATCTGTAGAGATTAATACTGAATAAAAGAAATCTATTTAGAAAATCAATTGAATAGGCTATGTTATTGAACTAAACAAAATATTTAAATAATATTGGACACGACTGAATAGGCTCTATAGTCGTTGATCATTGCCTGTTTCGAAGGAGACTTGGTAACTTTGAGTTTAAACTTTTCATGCGATTTGTCATTTTGGTTGTACTTATTTGTGGATATATTTCGTTTTTTATTTTCGTGAATTAATTTAACTTGACCCTTGGCTTTTCTCTTAATTTACAGGACAGTAGGTTGTTGCGCCCACATAATGACAATAATGTGTTACTTGGGTTTTGAGAGGAATGGAACAAACAATGTACAGACTCAGGCTACTTTTCTAGATGACATTTTATTAATAATTGCATAAATAATGAAACAATTAGAAAAGTTTGAGTTGTATTTTATTTAGTAATAACTAAAATACGGCATCCTTTTTTGTTCTTTTCAATTTATTG